TATATTTTAATAGTGGCATATTACAATTCGTTTGACGACTCACTTATATAGTGATTTTAAAGTTGGCACCGTCAAGGGTTTATAAAATGCATATGTTTATTTAAGAAAACTTATATTTTTTAAATAGACTAGCTCTCTGAGCATTTTATTTTCATACTTGAAAAGTTAAGTATTGTAAAAAACTATGTTGCTAAATATTTGTAGTATCTCTTCTCATGGCAACTCTAAAAATCTTGTTTAAGATATTTTACTGGATGGATGGCAATCCTGAAAAAATGTATTTGGTCCTAAAAGCTATGCTTTTATATGGACATATTTTTGTGGTATTACGTGAATATATATAATTCTATTCGATTTTTTCTGTAAAGATGGCCACTCTAAAAGTCTTGCTTTAGATTAAAAAAAAAATTGTTTCCGTTTTTTCTATAAGTATGGCAACTTAAAAAACTTCTTTTAGGTTTATTACAAGATGGATGGCAACACTGAAAATTTTGCTTTTGTCCTAATAGTTAAGCTTTTTTATATTTGTGGTATTACATGAATATATATTTTTTGAAGGTTTTTCTGTAAGGATGGCAACTGTAAAAGACTTGTTTTATATTTTTTACTAGATAGTTTGTAACTCGGAAAAATTGGATTTAGTCCTAAAAGCTATGCTGCCATATATATGTATGTGGTAATTTATGAATATATATTTTTTCGACTTTTTCTATAAGGATGACTACTCTACAATATTTGTTTTAGATTTTTTGCTACATGATTGGCAACCCATGTTGCCATATATTTGTGGTAATTTCTTCAAAATTTTTAATTTTTTTCCGACTTTTTCTATAAAGATGGCAACTCTAAAAGCTTGTTTCAGATCCTTTACTAAATGGATGGCAACCCTTAAAATTTCGCTTTAGTCCTAAAAGTTATTTTGCCATATATTTTTGGTATTTCAGGTACAAATATAATTCTTTTCTATGAGGATGGCAGCTCTAAAAATCTTGTTTACTAGACGGATGGTAACACTAAAAAATTTTAGTTAGTTCGAAAATCTATGCTTCTATTTTTATATATGTATGTGCTATTTCATGAATATATTTAATTATTTTAGTTTTTTTTTTTGTAAGGATGACAACACCACAAAGCTTTTTTTAACTTTTTTAATAGATGAATAACAACCCGGAAAAATTTGCTTTGGTCTTAAAAGTTATGCTGCTATATATTTGTGGTATTTTAGCACTATATATAGTTTTTTCTTTTTTTTGTGCAAGTGTGGCAACTCTCAAACCAAGCTAACCAAATAGCTAATTGGGACTAAACATTTTTTTTTTTAATTTTTCATTTTTAATAATACCAGGAAGAGAGTACTATATGGTAAGGATTAAATTGTTGTTTAGTATTTTTCAGGAAAATTTATGTAATTTTTTTTCCGAAAACCTAAATATGCTTTTACCAGCATCTTTTACAATCCCTCTAGGTCACAGTTCTTACTTTCAATATTTTTCCGATTCAGTTTTTTTATTTCCACACAATCTAATACAAACTCATTGAAGCGCATATAAGAATTATTTACAAAAGACTAAAGCAGCTATTAAATTAATTTAACGCTCCAATGAGTTTGTGATTCACTGCTATATTTGTTTTGGCATATAATTTGTCATTGTACAGTTTTCAAAGGCATTTGGCAATGTTCACAAAAACCTTCTGTTTAATTATAAAATATTGGTGCAGAGTTGTATTTGCATGTATTTTCGAACTTAGGTCAAATTTGGTCACAGATTTTAAGCATGCATTTCGAACTAGTCTAATTAATGAACAATTCACAGTATTCCCAGAGCAAACCTTTTGAGTTTCGAACCCAGCAACAACATGCCACTCATCCCGCCTCAACAGCATGCATATTCACACTGAAATATTAAATATACTACGAAAATTATTTGCACCGGAAATGCGCTGGCTCACTGGCAGGTCAGTCGTTGTGTTGAAAATCATAACAGTATTTATGGAAATAATAAATTTGCATATAAAGTAAATTAAATACAAATACAGAGGCCGACAGAAATAACAGCAAATTGCAAATTCTCTACACATACACACATAATATAAGCAAAGCAATTGAATTTATGCACAAACATCGCCAGCCGAAAGCAGCTTATTTATAACGGTTGTTACGAGTGAAATTTATGGTTTCATTCTAGTATAAATTTTAATTGAAATTTGCGCAAAATGTGTGAAAACCAAGTGCATCAAATGAGTGATTACGACTTGGCTGCAATGCTTGACATGAAACGATTGCCCCGAAAACTATGCAACATTAATTAAAGGCAGCCGGATTAAAGCGAATGTAAGTTATATTTACATTGTATGCAAATTTGTGGTCAAGAAAAGTGGTCGACATGCCTCGGTGGTTGTTGTGMGCGTCTGTGGCACACACACACATTAAATTTGGTTGCAATAAAACTGCTTTAAATTTCAATAATATTTACATGCGCATATGTATGAATATTCACAAGCTTAGTAAGCAATGCAAACCAAAGACCAGAATGTATAAATAATCTAGTATAATCAGGAGAGATCTTCTTGTGGCAATTGCTGCAGTTTACCAATCATTTAAAAGCTTCTAAGATATTGCTGCTTGCCACATGTAGTACAATCAATCTAAGAGAGCTTAATAAGCCATTTACATTTCTACCTTTT